CGCCACGGCAGAATGATCCGCCAACATGTTTTACGCAGTGGATACCCTTGCAGCTGCAACCCATCACTGAGAAACACTCATACACTCTCATTCACAGACATACACTACGGAAAATTTTAGTTTACCCTTTTCACATGTACTGCGTGTCTTTGGACTTGTGGGGTAAACGGAGCACCTGGAGGAAACCCACGCAAACGCAGGGAGAACGCAAACTCCACAAAGAAATGCCAATTGACCCAGCTGAGATCAATGTAATTTGACGTCAATATTGGACGTCAAAATAACGTCCTAAGACGCTGGCTAGACCTGGAATTTTGGTGACCTGACGTCATGACCTAAATCTAACCTAATATTAACATTTTATGATGTTGTGTGCCCGCTGGGAATAAGAGCCAACAGAAATAAAGCCAAAATAAATTTAATTAACCCTTGTACATTGTTCAAATTGACAACCTTTTTTGTCATGTTAAGTATGAAAACATCCACAATTACTTTTTAAGTCAGTTTGTGTGTTTTTTTTTTTTTTTTTCACCAGACAATGACATCATGTATGACTTTGGCAATTAAAGAGTTCTTATAATCTTGTAATTTTCTAAGCAATTTAGTAGTTTTGATTAGGACCGAGGTTGATTAACAGATGTATGCAAAACAATTTGAAAAAATATACATTTATCTGATGCATTTTTACAGCAGTATAATTAGTGGATGTTTTTATCCATAACATAACAAAGGGGTAGGAAATTTGCCCAGAGTGTATTGTTGAGTTTTTTTTTCTTTTTTTAATATGAGTCAAAATAATAATTGTCACCAAAAATCATTCCATTTGCTGAAACACAGTAAAAGTTATGGCCAAATTAAGAGTCAAAATCACCCCAGAGTAGATGAAAACATCCCCAGCAGTACACAAGGGCTAAAATAACATTTATATACATAATTATATTTTTATTATTTGTTTTTATTGTTGTTGTTGTTAATTTTAATAGCAGTAGTATTAGCATCATCCTCATCTTCACTGTTGTTTTTTACACAAACATTAATAAAATGCAAATAAAAAAATTAACTAGGATCAATATACATGCAATACAAATATGAAAACTAATATGAAATACAATAGAATTTAAGTTAAATAAATATAAATTAATTAACAAAACTAAATAGCTACACCAATAAACAACTCAGTAAATGACAACAGCCAAGCCCGTTCGCTATTTTAAAAAAGAATAGAGAATTTTCTCTTATACAACATGCTATTTTTCCTTTATATAAAAATGATACCCTGGTTTTATGTGTCAGTACAGATAAAATGCATTAATGTGCCTCAGTTTGCAGTGGTAGCGGCATACCAAAGTCTCTTTTTATAGGACAGAGGAAAAAGTAGTTATATGTCACTTGGTAACATCTTTGCCAGAGCAAGGCGTCCTTTGATCCTGACATTTAATAGAAATCGCAGCAAGCAGGTAATGTTAACAGACTGATTCTCCTGTTAGCAGAAGGATGTGAGGTGTGCCAGGGTAAGCCATCCGTTACATGGACAGTTCAGTCTGACAGGCAGCCCATGGAAGTGTGACTGCAGCATTTGTTGTTAATGCGAAGCCGAACAATCACCAGCACAACATAAAAATCCTCTCTGTGACATATGAGAGATATTTGCATCCGGGATTGATAAGTGGTACGATTATATTACATGTCCAGCGTTGGCATTTTCCTCACGTCAAGGATTTATGCCGCAGAATATCACCTTTATGAGGTCATAAAAAAGAGACAGGCAGAAATAAACAAGTCCATTTATACGTACTAAAAACAGGCATAAATATGTATGCCTTTGAAACGCTCAGCTGTGATTAAATGCCGACCTTCGCTGACACGACATAGCATGCAACATAAACTGTAAATTTTACAAAGCAATAATTCAGGGAAAAACCATGCGCATAAATGCAGACATGAATTGTAGGAGTACATTCAAAATGATGGGAGGGAAAAAACACCTCGGAAGAACTGGGAATGACCTTCCACAATTATTGCAGATAATATCGTGCATCGTCTTCTTTTAATTGCAGTTCCGCTCTCAGAGCTGCACTTAAAGCGTATCTGTTCCACTGCCTGCATCTGAGCAGATTCTATCAAGATAAATGTATAAACTCGAGGGCTACGACAGGATGAAGTGGAGAAATTAAAATCTTTTCAAGCATTTTCCCCCCCTTTCACTGTACCCATCAAAGTCTTAAACTAACATTGGAAATGAGTGCTTAAGTGAAAATGAAGACACACTATTGCTTTTGACAGCCAAAATAAAATGTGACTTGTGAGCGTGGCATGATCCGACGTGCTGACTACTTCGGATGTCACGTAAGATACACCCTATTAAACTTGGCCACAGAACTCAATAAGGCTCTTGGTGGTTTTATGTGATATGAATCAGCACTGATAGCAACGCGGTGATTTATGGATAATGTGTTTTGGAATGCTTGGCAGTCGCTGCATGCATCTGTCTACCATCTGCATGCTTCTCCATAAAAGAGAATGGGTTAGCTTGCTCCGCTGCGCAAACCCGAGGAGGCTGATCGGTTGAAACGGTTAAAAATAAGCAAACACAGGCTATTCTCGGCGGGATGGCTTGAAGGCCGCTGAGGGAGTATCGGAAGCTTTGTCAGAATGAGCCAACACAAATTCATCAATCCTTGAACAAACATCATCCTTCAAAAAACCTCCAGCGCTTCTGAGGACTGCAGGAACGCTGTGATATGAGCAGCATAAATAATTCTCTGTACCACAAAGGAACTTCTTAATGCTCGTAAAGATTTTGTTCATTTACTATTCTTTGCCTTCCACAAAAAAAAGAAAGATGTTGAAGATTACTGTTAAACAAGCCAGTTTGGCTCCCTTTGAATTCCATTGTATTTTTTGTACGTTCAGTTAAAATCAAATTAATTCAAAGTTGTTCATTTAACTCGTCTTTAGAGCAAAAGAAAGATATGAAAAATAGAAGATATTTGAATAATGCTGATAACCAAAACACTCCAGTTGCCAATTATTTTTACCAAAGGCTTTCAAAACTGTTAGTTACAGGAACAAGTAACTGTAACATTTTATTTTGATGATCCATTTGTGTATTAGTAGACTGTCTGCTAAATATGTTGATACTACTCCTTAAACCGACATTTAACTGACTATAGAGAAATTTAAGTACATGTCAACTTACACTAACCTTAACCCTACCCCTAACCCCAACCTAACAATCTACTTATAATCTAAAGATAATTAGTTGGCATGTAGATGCAATGTAACTTATAGTAAATTCAACAAACTGATCATTAAAATAAAGTGTGACGCTACCAACAACTGGAGGATGGAGGACACCGATCAAATGTAAGTTTTTGTTTTATTTTGTGTTAACAGAGGCAAATTATAGATCTTATTAAAAAGCAAAAATTAGGTCAGAATATCTCATGACAATTTGAAACACTATCGCTAAAACTGAGAACAAATAACAATCAATAAAGGCACTTTCTTATCACGTTTTAAAATACTTTATGGTGTTCTACAAGGCACCAATCAACATACTTCATGCTTACTCTTACTCGCTACTGGTAGTACTTATTACTGGAATAGATCCAGCCCTATTGTGTTTTCTTCTAGTTCCTGTACACTGTAAAAAACTGTTAATTAACAATTTCTATATTTTGTGTTATCTGTTTTTTTACGAATGTAAATTGCATAATGGAAACTTGACCTCTGCTCTGTGGAAATTTGATATTGAAAATTCAAATCTACAGTTTAACAAAACTTTTTATTTTTACATTTTAGTAGTTTGAGACAAGATATGTGTCACGGTCACGGCCTAGCCTGTGCAGATTGCTGGTGTACACAAAGATCGCTAACGAACAACAAATCCGCCATTTCAAGAACTACAAGTTCCACACACACCAGTTCCTGATCTCGTTTGATTGCACTCACACAGCTGAAGCTGCTCAAAGATTGATTATTTGGACTAATATTACAGCACACAAACACAAAGACTTGGCTGAGTCTTTTTATAGTAAGCATTATGACACGTTTTCCTTGCCTTACCTCCAGTGTTTAAACCTTGCTTTGTTTTGTTTGTTTTGCATTATCCGCTGCCAGCCTGTTTTGACCATTCACCTGTGCATTTGACTATGGCTCTGGATTGCCCGTATACATCTGTTTGCCCCTGTGAGGACCGTTGCTCGCCTGATCATTCTCTGCTTAAACCCTGCATTTGTCTCCGCCTTTCCATTGTCAGTGTACCCATTTACATTACAATATTGTTTAGGAACTGAAATATAGAGAACTAAGTTTAAAAAACAACAGAAAATACAATACCAACCCAGACAACATATTACTTCAAACTTATACAAATGTTAATAAAAGTCACTGTTTCAAACATTTTAAGGTTAAAAGTTGTTGAAATAAAGATCAGGGTTCCATAGTGCAATTCGAAAGCCTAAATAAGTGAGAAAAACTTGAATTGAAAAATACAAAAAACACTGTCAATTTACAGATATTTTACTACAGTGTAGTGAGAAGACAGCTGGGTACATAGACAGCTGGCCAATAGTTCCAGGATGTATGTAAAAGTTCTTTCGTGAAAGCAGTTATTGTATAGATAAAAAAAAGAGAAGCTTAGGCTATAAACATTCTTTAAAATATGATTTTTTATATTTGTTTTATACTTGTTATTTTTGATTTTTTTCCAGAACAAGAGATTTTGAAGTGTTTTCCAACCTATTGACTCTTATCTTGAACATATTGTTTAAAGTTATCTATTCTAAAAAACATTTATTCACTTGGTCATTAATTTATTGTCCAAGAAAACCAACAATTTTTCAAAAATTCCTCGAAATTTAGGTTGAGAGCCACAGATAAAATTTTTTATACAGGTTTAGACCAACATGATGCTGTAAATCATCATGATTTTGCAATGAATTTAGGTAAAGTTTAAACAAAACAAACATGTGGGTATGTAAGATAAGAGCACGTACGAGAGCAGGCCATGGAGGCAGGGTCCTCGTCTGCTCGAAAGTAATTTTTCTCACAGCCGCAGTGTACAGATCCCTCCTGGTGTGTGTAGCTGTGTGGAGGACACTTGGAGCACTTGACGTTCCCAGATGAAGCCTTATAGAAACCGGGCCGGCAGG